TTGTCTCTGATATGGCACCATTTGGCCTTGGGGCTGCATACCTCCAGGTTGTGGCATGTTTGGTCTGTACTGCTGATTTGGCGCCGGTCTCCACTATTGTCCTCCTTGTCTCTGAGCCCAAAAGTTGTTGACATAATTCATATCCTCTTTTAACCCTTGGTTGTCACCTTCTCCACTCCATGAACACACATAAGACTAATTAATGCAGGGTGTACACAGTCCTCCATTTGTTGTGTCAACAATATACACTTGCTTTATACCCATCTCATCAATCTTCTTTGTCAATATACTCATCTGAGTCATGAGTGTGGCTATGTTCTCTGCATGCGAATTATTTGGGTCAAGAGGAACTAAATGCACTATTGGTGCTAGTGTTGTACCTCTCGTCATCCACCCCGAATTCTGGGACATCTTGTCAAGAAGGATTTTGCACTCGGTGAATGTCTTACTCAAAAATGCACCCCCAGCTGAAGCATCAACATTGGCCTTTAGATTGTCTGCTAACCCTATGTAGAATCTCTGGACTAGCATCTGATCTGGAATACCATGGTGGGGACACTTCACTAGCATCCCTTTGAATCTTTCCCAAGTTTCCTGCAAGGTCTCAGTAGGCTGCTGCTTGTACTGCAATATCTCATCAATCTGTCTTGCAGTCTTGTTGGGCGGGTAAAACTTATTCAGGAATTGCTTGACTAATTTCTCCCAGGTAACAATGGAATTTATTGGGAGCGAATTCAGCCAAGTCTGAGCTTCCCCAATCACAAAGAACGGGAACAGTAACAGCTTGATAGCTTCTGGGGGTCACATTTGGCTGCCTTTGGGTCACACAAATCGACAGAAAATTTTTCAAGTGTTCTTGAGGGTCTTCAATGTGTGACCCGAAGAACAATCCCTTATTCTGCAGAAGATGCAGCATGTTGTTGGTAATCTGGAATGTCTCCTCTTGTATTGGGGGCACAGCAATGGCAGTGGCCAGGTTGTCAGCTGTTGGTTGTGCCCAATCATAGAGTGCAGCTTCTGGCATAAGAGGTACCACCACTCTGACGTTTGGGTCAGATGGCTCATCCTTGATGTTTTCGTTGACGTTATTTACGTCACCCATGTCAATTTCAAGTTGGTGTGTTTGTTGTGATTGTTTGTTCTTCATGTTGGCATGGTTCAATGCCCTGAATATTTTCTCGGGGTCTGAGAGTCCTTCAAGCAGTTCGCCAGTCCTCGAAGAATTTCTAGGCATACACCTGAATCCCACAAGAGTTCAAACGTGAGAATTTCAATGAAAAAAAATTGTTTAACACCTTAGAAAATTGATCTAAACTAATAATTCTAGCACTACTTCTAAGTTGTAATAAATAACACCGTTAATTCCCCGGCAACGGCGCCAAAATTTGATCACGCCCAACTATGCCTTCTAAAAGACAAAGCGGTCGTTGCAAATATAATCCGGTTTTAAGTCCGGAGTCGAATCCTCAGGGAACTAACCTATCTATTACAACTCCTGTCAATGCTATTATCAATTCAAACAATTTCCAAATACAAGATTGTTATCAATAACGATTGGGTTTTCGTTTAACTACTTCAAATGATATTAAAAATAACAATATGCTAAATTAAAGATAATTCAATGGTAAAAAGGTCCAGGGCATTGATTTCCCCAGTTGCTAGTTCAAGTCTTAACTCTTTTGTTATAAACTCGTCGTAATACTCGATGAGGATTATGAGCTATGGGTTATCGTAATTATCTCTCGATCAACTACGATAATTTACTAGAGCATTCTCTCGAACTACTCTAGCTGATAATTTGTGCAGCTCTGAATTATCCCACCAAAGTTTCGTTATCTCTAACCCCACTTTTAAGTTCAAGCAATGACTCTCTTCAATTACCCAAAAGTGGTGTTGTTCAACAGCAGTCTAACCTAGTATTCTTTCTCAAGCAACACAAGGCAATTAGACACGATTAATCAAGGGCCCATTCAATTAATCACCATACAAAACGTAGTTGAACAATCATATAATAAATCCGGCTCGATTATAACAAAGTTGAGTCAAACTTCATCCAACAGTTGGTTCCATCAACCCTAGATCGAATGTTTAGCTATTCATAACAAAGCAAGATAAAACTACTAAATTGTTCATAATGTGTAATTGCAATAATAAAGAGAAGATAGAAAAACTCTAATATTTGGTCGTTCTTCTCACACTTGTTCTTGCCTCCAAAGTAGTCTAAAAACAAGCTTGAAACTTTCTTGGGCGAGCTTCTTGAGTTTATAAGGGCTTGGAATAAGTTTTCCTCGAGTTACACTGTGGTCCCAAAAGTTCTCGGCAACTACACAGTTCACCGCGGCCGTGGCAGAACGCGGCGCGACCGCGGTGAGAGACACACATTCTGCCTCGCGTCTTTGCCTGCCGCGGTCCAACCGCGGTCCACCGCGATCGCGGTGGATTCCAACCCAGTCCACTTTTTGCTTCTTTCCGCTCGGGTGCTTCTTGATTGGACGTTTTCTTCACATTATTGATTCCAAAACACTTCATAGTTCTTCCTAACTTGGATTAGTCCCTGCGAAGCAAAAGAACACCAATTAGAGCATTTTATTATCATTTAGCCTATAAAACAACAATGAAGCATGCTATAAGTAGGGTGTAAATATCGTCTATGTAGCCTATTATCACATACCAAAGGAATTCATGTAATCATCATTGTCATTATTGCTGTTAATCTCTTATTTGTAGTCTATGCTCTCTTTCTATATATAGTCAGATAAATACTTTTTACTTGGAAGACTGATGGAGCTACTACCTCGCGAATATAGAGTTAGGCGAAAACTGAGGGAAAATGCTTACAAAACACAGTATATTTGGTATGAAAGATTTCCCAGTTCGGAAGAAAAAGAAGAGCTTGGTGAACCATTGTCTGTAAGTTGTCTTTGTTTTTTTATTACACTTTGATTCAAAGGCTAATTGGATAACTCGTTATCAAATTATTATAATTTTCGTTCTGTTAATGACAGATTAAGACTTTGTGTTAAGAGACACAACATGGGAGTAAAACTTTGGTTGATGAGTAGAGAATATTTAGGGAGATGAGAAGAGAAATGGAAACAGGAAAAGAAGTTGTCTCCGCCAAAGACACAAAATTAAATCAAAATCAGGTAACAACATTTTGTACGAAAATTAGTTAACATGTGGAAGGTTTTTAAGAATATGGATTAATTTCGGAAATGCTCTTTTAAATTTAAATTTATTATTAATTTAATAATCTTGATCTTTTTAAACAGTAAAACGAATTGTTTTATGATATTAATTGTTTTATGATTCTTTTGGAAATTAACACCTGGACTCGAAGTGTTACAGGTCAAATTCGCTGAAATACAAATTATAAGGAGGCAAAAGAGGACGTTTGATCTCACTGTGGAAAACTTCAAGAGAGAAATGGAATCTATTAAAAATGACATAATTTTTTTAGAAAAAAGTTTAGATGTCATAAATCAAAAGAAAGGGAAAATATATGCTAGTATTCTCGAGCTCGAAAGGCAAAAAACTACACATCATAATTAACGAAGTACCTTTATATAAGTTGTTCATTTTCCAGTTTATACGTCAATTTTTGTAATTTGAGCTATTTTTTCTAGTGAAAATTTGGTTATTGTAATATTTTGATAGTGTTATTTTCAAACTTCTTGAGCTCTCCAATTGTATCCCATAATAAAACTAAATATTCTTGATAATCCTATTGATCGATATATATTTATTTTGTCAAATACGTATGCAGTCCCTTAACTTTGCCCGACTTTTTCAAAAATGCATGAACTCAAATATGAACTCGAATAAGTACCTATGAAGAACTAAACTCCTCAAAAAGTGTATGAAATATAATGAGCCAAGCAATGTCACTTAGTTAGTTGTAATGACAGTTAGTTAGTTGTACTGATTGTAACTTAAGTTTACTATGGTTAATAGTAGAGTTAGTTAACCATATCTAGTGGTAGAGTTAGTTTTAGTTTCATTCATATACATATACATGTACAGATAAATAAGAGATAATAGAATCTTTTGGAATATTCTCTCTCCGCCCTCATCCTCTATTTTGCCGACTTACTCAAGCTCATCAGATCAGTTTCAATCAGCTAAGACTCCATGCCTAAGCTTCATGGATAGCTGATTTTGACATGGTATCAGAGCCACACGACCATTACTGTGCTTATCATTTTTAATTTTGTCCAATTTAGTTCTCTTCAAGCTAATTTGGAGGATCAACAATGGCGACTGTCAATAACACTGAGCCAGAGAAATTAGGTCACAATCATCCGCTTTTCCTGAATTCAAATGATAATTTAGGAGCTGTGATGATTTTGTTGCAATTACGAGGACCGTCTGTGTGGAGTCGGGCAATGAGGATTGCAATCCTAGGTCGAAATAAGCTAGGGTTCATTGACGACACGTGCAAAAGGGAGAATTACGGTACAAATCTCGTATATCTCTGGGAATGTTGTAATGCGATTGTATTGTCTTGGTTGATGGAATGTGTTTCTCCAGAATTGTTTAGTGGAATGGTATATTCGTCAAATGCTAATGAGGTATGGGATGATTTGAAGGAGCGATTTGATAAGGTGGATTGCTCTAGGAATTTTCAGATCCATAGAGAAATTGCTACTGCTAGGCAGGGCACTAGCTTAATTTTGACTTATTTCTCAAAATTGAGAGCTCTTTGGGCAGAATTTGATAGTCTGGCACCAATTCCTGGTCGTGATGCTGCCAACTCTCGTGAATTTGTCCAATTTATGGAGCGTCAAAAGCTTCTACAACTTCTAATGGGACTAAATGAGTCTTATGAACAAGCATGTATCCAACTCTTGATGATGATTCATGTTTCATCTGTGAAGAAAGCTTATTCTATGTTAATGGAGCGTGAGAGTCAGAGGACAATGTCCAACACCTTTACCACTGTTGATGGGGTGAGATGGTGGCGCTGATGACGAATAGGTCTGGAAATCAGCAGAGGCCACATGAAAGGCCACACTAAAGAAACTTGCTACAAGGTAGTAGGATATCCAAAAGATAACAAATTCAAGAAGAAGTACAATTCACAAGCAACAGCCAATTTTGCAGCTGAAGATGTCCCAGCAACAACAACTGGTTCTACTCCTATGGCTCCCACATTCACTCCAGAACAATATCAGCAGAATTTACAACTACTTAAAGGCAAGGAAACTAAAGTAGCAGCTAATGCCACATGAATGGATTCAAGTATTATAATGTCCTTAATGTCTAACTTGGATCAAGATATTTGGATTGTAGATAGTGGTGCCTCTAACCACATGGTTTCAAAGCTAGAAGCATTAGATAATCCAACCTCACTCCTAAAATCTAACTCAGTTCATTTTCCAAATGGGGATGTAGCTGCAATTACACATAGTGGATCAACTAGTATATTCAAGAACCAACAGATTAGTGATGTTCTTCATGTTCCAAACTTTAAGTATAACTTACTGTCAGTTTCAAAATTGACAAAAGAGCTGCAATAATTGGTAGCTTTCTTTCCTGATATATGTGTGTTTCAGGACCTCTATACTGGGAAGGTGTTGGAGATTGGTAGTGACACAAATGGACTGTACATACTCAAAGATTGCATATGCAGGAGGAAGCTTACTACACCAACTGTACATACCACAATCATGCCGACTTCTATGTCAGTTAGTCAAGATTCAATGAAACTGGAGATATGGCACCAGAGACTTGGTCGCCTACCTGTGGAGACACTTAAGAGGATTGATATGTTCAAAAATCTCCACATTACTAACAGCAACAGTGATCGTGCAATGTGTCATGTTTGTCTATTAGCTAGGCAGACTCGATTGCCATTTCCAGTTAGTACTAGTAGAGCTAAGGCATCATTTGATCTTTAGCATGCTGATGTATGGGGACCTTTCAGAGTACCCACTTATGATAGCAAAAGATTTTTCCTTATAGTAGTAGATGATTTCTCTAGCATTACTTGGCTCTTCCTAATGAATGCTAAAGATGAGATTTGTTGGTTAATGAAAAGATTGTTTTCTGTGATAAGTACTCAGTTTGATTGTTCTGTTAAGATCCTGAGAACAAATAATGGTTCTGAATTTGTTAATTCAAATAAGAAGCAGTTAGTTGAGACATTAGAAATTATACATCAAACTACATGTGTTTACATTCCGCAGCAGAATGGCATAGTGGAAAGAAGACACAGATACATCCTTGAAACAGCTAGAGCTTTGAGATTTCAATCTGGAGTACGCTTAAGATTTTGGGGTGAGTGTGCTCTTACAGAAGTACACATAATAAATAGATTTCCTTCTTCATCCTTGAACGGAAAGTCCCCCTATGAAGTATTCTATAACACTACACCATCATTAGATCACCTTAGGGTCTTTGGGTGTTTATGTTATGCTGTAAATGTAAGAAAACAAGACAAGTTTTGTGCGAGAGCATTGCCAGTAGTGTTTATGGGATACTCACCAACAAAGAAGGGGTATAAACTGTATGGCTTGCAATCCATTTAGTTTCTAATCAGTAGAGATGTGGTGTTTAAGGAGCAGGTGTTTCCTTTTAAAAAGATGAAGATGCTGCCTAATCCCTTATTTCCGGTTCTTGAATTAACAGATGAGCATTTAGCCTCACCTGCTTCTGATGTTGTTCAGGAGAATCCACCTACACCTGCCAATGACTTTGCACTTAGTGATGCTGATTCACCACTAACTCCTGAAGCACAATTTGATATTCCTGCACCACAGAATGTTGAAACTCTCCAATCTCCTTCACATGTAGAGGTTGTTCAACCCATTGCAGTTAGAAAATCCCAAAGAACAATTGGTCCTCCCAGATGGATGCAAGATTATGTGACAAGTTCTTGTGCATATCCTATGTCCAATTATCTGAGCTATGATGGGTTATCTCCTTCATATATAAAATGTCTCATTGCAGAATCAGTCATTGTTGAGCCCAAATATTACTCTGAGGCAACAAAAGATGCAAGATGGGTCACTGCTATGCAATAGGAAATTCAAGCTTTGGAAGACAACATGACTTGGGATATAGTTGATCTGTCTAAAGGTAAAACTCCTATACCGTCATATCAGTCATAGCTGCAGCTGTTTCAGAGCATTGCCACATCTATCAGATGGATGTGCACGATGCATTCTTGTAGGGGGATCTCTTTGAAGAAGTATACATGCATCTTCCTCAAGGTTTTGGCACCAAGGGGAGTCTAGAGCCAAGGTATGCAAATTGAGAAAGTCACTTTATGGCCTCAAACAAGCATCTCGACAGTGGAACTTGAAGCTCACAGAGGCTCTCCAAGACCTGGGATTACTTCAAAGCCATTTTGATTATTCCTTATTTACACAAAGGAGAGGTGATGCTTTGGTTGTTGCCCTAGTTTATGTGGATGACCTTCTGGTGATAGGTAATAATCAGCAACTTATTCAAGCTGCTAGAGATAGCCTTCAGAAGAAATTCAAAATGAAAGACTTAGGGGAGCTCAGATTCTTCTTAGGCATAGAATTTGCCAGAAGTAAGGCTGGAATTCTAATGAATCAATGCAAATATACCCTTGATTTGATATCTAATTCAGGGCTAGGGGGAGAAAAACCTGTGTCAACACCTTTGGAAGTAAATCAGAAGCTCACATCAGTGGAATTTGATGAAGCTCCGAAGACCAAAGATGATGAGGATACTATTCTGGCTGATGATGAACCATATCAAAGGCTCGTAGGAAAGTTGCTCTACCTTACCATGACCAGACCTCATATTACTTATGTGGTTCAGGTCTTGAGCCAATTCATGCACAAATCTAAAAGGTCACACATGAAAGCAGCCCTAAGAGTCATCTGATATGTGAAGAATGCTCCAGGTTTGGGATTACTGATGTCTTCTGCAGACTCTCGTTCCTTGGTTGCTTATTGTGACTCCGACTGGGCAGCCTGTCGACAGTCTAGAAAATCTGTCACAGGTTACATTGTGAAGTACGGGGAATCACTTATTTCTTGGAAATCCAAGAAACAAAGCACGGTGTCAAGAAGTTCAGCAGAGGCAGAGTTTAGAAGTATGGCTTCAATAGTAGCTGAATTATCATGGCTTGTGGGTCTGTTTAAGGAGTTAGGCATCAATGTGGAACTGCCCATAGACCTCTTTTGCGACAGTAAAGCAGCTATACAGATAGCTGCCGATCCAATATTTCACGAGAGGACCAAACTATTGACATCGATTATCATTTTGTACGGGAGAAGTTGCAGCAAGGTCTCATCCAAACTCATGATGTTAGTACTAAGGATCAACTTGCAGATTTACTTACCAAAGGCCTTGAGAAAGCACCACACTATCATCTATTGAGCAAGCTGGGAGTAGAAAATTCGTTCTTACCCTCCAGCTTGAGGGGGAGTAATGAGCCAAGCAATGTCACTTAGTTGTAATAATTAGTTGTAATGGCAGTTAGTTAATTGTAGTGATTGTAACTTAAGTTTACTATGGTTAATAGTAGAGTTGGTTAACCATATCTAGTGGTAGAGTTAGTTTTAGTTTCATTCATATACATATACATGTACAGATACATAAGATACATAAGAGATAGTAGAATCTTTTGGAATATTCTTTCTCCATCTTCATCCTCTGTTTTGCAGACTTACTCAAGCTCATCAGATCAGTTTCAATCGGCTAAGACTCCATGGCTAAGCTTCATGGATAGCTGATTTTGACAAAATATATATTTTATAGATAAGTTAGAAGTGTAAAGTACGAAGAAATCATTTTTGACTCTCTTTTCCGCGAAAGAAGTTTCAGTTACTTCATTAAGAACATGATTTGTCTAATACAATATACATGATCATTTACAATTCACCTAAAAAACATCATTCCCCAAGTAATACCTTATATTTAGTGGTGACAAAACGATCAAAAGAAAACCGTTATCCACCCATTATCCATTAATAATGGGCTGGATAATGAACTTTTTAAAAACGGGTTAAATATAGATAAGAACCATATTATCCACTTAAAAATGAATAACTAATGGATTTAACTTTTATATTTGTAAAGCCTCAAATTGGGGGTTCCTCAAGTTTGGGAGACTAAAAGTTCTCCCAAAAAAGTGATCATATTCAAGAAGTCATGGATAATATGGATATCCATATTATCTATCAGTTAACCCGTTTTATATTCGTATTAAATATGGGTTGGATCGGATAATTTATCCATTTTTTATTAGCCATTTTTTAACCGCCCATATGCGATCCGACCCGTCCGTCTGCCACCCCTACTTGTATTAAAGAAATAGATAACTTAGCTAAGGCAAAATACATAAAGACCCTATTAAACTTGTTCAAAAAATAGAACACTTAAACTAAACGGGTGTTCTTTTAAACCCCCCCCCCCCCCCACCCCAAATGTATTTGCAGTGAATTATCCCTACCCCCCCCCCACCCCCCCAAAACACTAATAATAGTCTCATGTTTTACACGCGCGCGCCACATCAGAAATCTTTTAACTTTCCTCTTTTTCTTTTTCTTTTGTTTACTCATAGTTTTACAATAATAATCCTAATTAACCATTAAAATGATTCAATAATAATACTAAGCAAAAGGGATAACCAATACAAGATAGAAAAATTGCACAAAAAAGAAGATCTGTATTCGGAAAACAAGAAAAAATCAGATCGTCAGAGACCAGTGGTCACCGATAGCTTCAGATTCGACCAAAACAACACCCAAACCAACATGCCAAACCACTCAAAACAAGCAATATTTGCTACCTAACTATTTCAGAATGATACCTTCAGCCAAAATTTTCAACAGAACCAACAATTTCATCATTCACACTATTATTGCTATGATCTAAGGTTTCTATTTTGAACTAGTGGACTTGAATTTAAGCCTAAGATTCTATGTTTGGGCAGTTGGTTGGTGGATTCATGATAGTATTTTGAATTTGGGGTGATGAACAGTTTTTTTGACACCGGTGACTAACTGTAGCAAGTAGGAAAAATAAGAAAAAAAAAGACAAAAGAGAATGAAATAATATCTAAAGAAGAAAGGGGAGGAGGAGAAAGAAGGCGTGGTTGAAGCGATCTGAAGAAGAGAAAAAAGGGGGTCCACCTTTTATATTTCCACTATGTATGCGCTTAATTATTTTTTTTCCACATCAGCTATTAGGGTGGAACAAAATTCACTCCAAATATGTTTAGGGGGGTAAAAGAACACCTGTTTAGTTTAAATATTCAAACCTAATTTTTTGACAAGTTTAATGGGGTCTTTATGTATTTTACCCTTAGCTAATTAACGAGACATAATTATATGTATTTTGCCCTTAGCTAAATAACGAGTGTATACGGCAGAATCGGAGGGTCCGATTTCCCATCATTAAGGCGTTTCGGAATATCACCTCGAAGCCTCGAGGCTGCAAAGATGCGCTCGAGTCTTCTTCCTCGGAGCTCATCGACACCCGGCCTGAAGAGAATATCGGTCGAGGCTAGAGTAAAAATAGGAGTTCCCAAGACATGCGGCTAAGTCTGACAAGGCCTAATCGGCCTACCCTGAACCCAGATCAGGGTTCCGCATCTAGCTGTCCTATCTCTATATCTTTACAATTCATATATGTCGTATCATATAAGGTTCCCTCCTCTATATAAAGGGGAATTTTACTATTTTTTAGAGGACTGATGTTGCTCCAACTATTCTACACAAGATAAATAATAACTCTCTCTCTCTTTTCTCTCTAACATACTCTCTCGATATTGTTTCTCTTACTTGCTATCTTCATACTTGTTCTTCATTTATTGCTTATCATTGGCGATAAAGAGCCTCCTTTAATATTATTGCGTCTGTTAGCCCTTCCCCGACTTCCCCTAATAGCTCGAGCCCGAGCTCGGGAATCGACCTCGAGGACCCAAATCGACTAGCTCGAGGCCCTGAACGGCTAACCCATCGGTCCGAATATAACTCTATTTTAGCTCGCATCTCGTTCTTAAACTTCACACACATAGCATCAACTGCTTCACAACTAGCATAATAATAGATCGCGTATTTTTAGAGTCCTATCAACAAATTTAATTGTTATTACCATTTTTACGGTAAACAGTTTGGCGCCCACCGTGGAGCTAAAAAAATAGTGATTATTTTCTTGCTAAGTTTCGTTACACAAATGCAAGTTATCTTTCACACTTTTTCTTGTCCAAAATCTTCGATTTCAGGTCAATATCTCTGGCTTAGTAAAGAGAGTAGAAAACGACGACCTCAAAAATCACGGAGAAAACGGTGTGGCTGTTCCAATTGTTGGCGTGCCGCCACGGAACCCCGAGAACACACCTGGGCCGACTCCAGCGGAAGCAGGCTCGCGCGACGCACAGCAGATCGACGAAACCTCACACATCGACAGGAGCATACAACAAGATGACCAACAGAAAGCCCAAAAAACCCCAGCTCGGGAAGCACGGGAAGTTAGCCTTCATGTTATTTTTGAAATGTTGCAGGCAAAACAGTTGGCTATCGCTCAGCTGCAAAGCCACTCAAAAACTCCCAGCACCGTAGCACCAGGAACAACTTCCCCGGCCGAACAGGTACCGGAGATATTGAGCAATAATGGTTCGATAGCCGACCCTACTGTGAGCACATGATTTTTTCCCTACATGAATTACTCTCATAAACTCAAAACAAATAGTTTCTTTCAGTGTTTGCAATTTTGTGGGTTTTCGTGGTATTTTCTGTTAATTGTTTGCATTTTGGTTTGTGCACTTTAATTCATAAAAAATACAACAATATCTTGCATTTTTCATTTAGGATTTAACTTTGCATTTAGGATTAATTGTAAAATCAATTGTTTTATAAAAAGGAAAATCATAAAAATAGTTAACTTGCACTTTTGGTTTTAATTTTGATTTTTGATTAGTTTTCTTTCAGTTAGTGTTACTTTATTAATTATGGCAATTACTATTTGGGTTTAATTAGTGTTTTGAGAGGTTAATTAGGTTTTAGGATTTAATCTAGATGTTAAAAAAAAGAGAAAAGAAGGAAAAGGATTTTTGGGAAAAATTGGAAAGAAAAGGAATTGAAATAGAAAAGAAAAGAGTTGGGCCAGTCTTTCATTCTTCCACCCCAGTCCCAACGTTTATTCCCCTGATACACGCCCCAATTCCATGCCCAAACCCGACCCATTCCCAATTAATTTATTAAACACAAGAAAAATGAACGACGAGCCCTAAACCCCAAAGACCACGCGACTGTTCCTCTTCTCCAAATCAAATCCAGCCTCATTTCAGCCTAAATCCATGGCGAGTGATTCCACACCCTTAACCACGCGTTCCTCATTCTCTCCTCATCACCATTTGTAACGGTTTCTGACAGATTCCCTCTCCCTCACATGCTCTCTTCAATTTTTATTTCGGATTTTTCACCTTTTGGATGATATACGGAAAAATAGGGGGCGTTAGATTGGATTCACGTTAATCTAAGCCTTCCATTTGTCCCTCTCTCATCAGAAACGGGGGAAAAATTCGTTTTGGGGGAGAATTTTCGGTGTGTGGGAATTTCGTGGTAAGGAAGGCAGAAGTTTCGAGAATTGAGGGAAGTCTATATAAGGTGAGTTTCTTTTCTTGTAGGGGGAATTTTTCGGTTCTGGAGAGATTTCTTCTATAGAAAATTTAAAGGAAAAAATTTCAGAGTCTGAGGGATTTGAAAAAAAGGTGAGAGAAATCATTTAGTTTTTCATGGATTCTTCTTGAGGTTTTCAGTTCCGATTCTAGAAAAAGGGTTCAAAATTTTCAATCTCTTTGTTTTGGTTCTGAGTCCTGTTTCAAAAAAAAATCCGAAAAAAAGTTCTCATTGTCTTTTTGATTCCTTTCAAAATGGGGATGGACTAAGCTGAGATCGAGTTGACTGTTCGTGTTCAAGTTCGTAGTTCTTGCATCATAACGCATTGTAGTTGTTGTTCTTCTGAGTTTCCGTTATCAAGTTCACTTGTATTGGGTTCAAAGAAGAATTAATCTAAGTTTATCTCAACTCAGGTTCATTTCTTCTCCAATTCTTTATTAATTCGTAATTTCAGTGTTTGTGTGTGTTTATACCCCGTCATGGTTTGCTGTGAACCCTGAAAGCCAATGTATGTGCTCCTACTCTGTTTCTGAGCTCTATTTGGCTTTGGTTCGGATCTGTTAAGATGTCTTAGTTTATCATTAAGGTACAATGCAATGGTCGATCCCCCTGCCCTTGATTTGCCAGTTCATCTCTTGCAAGTTCGTTATTAGTTCATAGGTTGCAAGTTCGATTGCTCTTTCTTTACCTCGCAAGGTTTTCGAATATGTAGATATTAGTTTTACTGGTCTTTTTGAACTAAATAAAGGGCAGTTTAATTGACCTTTTATCGGCAAGTTATTAGTGACTTGGTTCTGTCTCTGCGATAAAATCTTCTGCTGGTTTCCTTAGCAAAGATTTCTCTATTTTTTCTACTAAGGCTCGATGAGTTTGAAACTCATTAATCCGCTGCTTGAATTGTTTGAGTTTCATCCTGATTTTTCTTAGCCTCGTTTTGGTTCATCTTAGTTGATTCATTGTTTAATGAAGTAAGTTGCCAACCTTTGTGTTACGTTTTCGTTTGAACATTGAGACTGTTGGTTTGCAATTGAATAGCTGAATCCGTTCGAAGTTGTCTTTACTGATTCTCTTTGGTTTTCAAACAGAAATATGCCTAAGTGTTAGGATCGTCGTGACCATGCCCGCGCCAAGTCAGATTTTGTGCGCGCTATTTTGAAATTTATGAATTAGGTTTCTAATTGACTTTAGATGTTTGTGTTCCTTGCTGGGCGTATCTCTATGTGCTGCATTTCATGAGCTTGATTGAAGAAAAGTAGACTAAGCCACTGTCTTATTACATTTCCTTTAGAAAAATGCTTTCATTAAACTGTGTCCATACGAATAGCAAGTGTCATGAAGCTTGGAGCTGAAATATGTATATTTGAGTTGCTTGATTGGAATTCTGGTTTCTTTGGAGTTATGAAGAACTGTAGCACGAGAGGTATTGCACAAATTCATGTTGTGATCTATTTTGAACTTGTTAATCCTTTTGGTATTGGAGGTGCGGCTTGGAGTATTGAAATGTGCTGTTAGCTTGAAGGAGAGTTGAGTGTGTATGTTCAAGGTGTAAATCGAAAGCCCGTCAGTTGTACAAGAAGGTCAACAATCGAGTTAGTAAGATTCATAGCCCCTCCATACTTTGATCCACCTTCATTTTGGTTGCTCTTGTTTGTTCAGTTACTATCTTTTCTGTGACGCATTGATTATGGGAGGTTCTGTGTGGGATTAATATGTTCAACTTACTCCAAATATTTGCTGGGATATCTTTTGACATTAGCTAAGTGTAGTTGTCACTTTAGCTAAGTGTAGTTGTCACTTGTTTAGCGTTTTTGTAAGTCTGGTTATTTTCCTATTTTGAACATTTGAATAGCTGGGTCGTTTGTTGAATGGAATGCTTATCTTTATTTTTACTCGTTATGGACCATTGTTTTACGCGATCCTGAGAAACGGGTTATGGGAGGTTGGAATCATTTGGGCCAAAAGTAATGACCAATGGCCCAGTCATTTATTACAATATAGCTGGTGCAAGTTCACAATTTCTCTATTTTTTGTAGATTAATATAGAAAACATGGATAAATGGGATAATTTAGTCGTGAATGTGAGGTGCGCCGTGCCAAACAAAAATGAAATTGCGTGGCCCTCGTTTTAATTGGCTTTAACTCAACCTTAGATTCTGAGGGTGCCATTTAGCAAATTCCATGGCCCTCGCAAACTGTAAACGCGTAGTTGCTTTAGGCGCGTGTTTAATAATATTACTTTCCTAAATTCGGGTGCGCATTTATGTGACCCAAATCCAAATCCCAACGAAGTTAAAATATGTCAAAAATCACGGGTGCATTTATGTGACGTGATTCGAGACGTATTTTAATGACGTTGCAATTCGCTGTAAAATTAATAATAATAAAAGCGGTTCAAAGTTCAAAAGCACATAGGTTAGAACATGTTTAAATCAGATAATTAAGCCAAATATAGTAGTTGAGCGACCGTGCTAGAACCACAGAACTCGGGAATGCCTAACACCTTCTCCCGGGTTAACAGAATTCCTTACCCGGATTTCTGGTTCGCGACTGTTAAACAGAGTCAAACCTTTTCCTCGATTCGGGACTCAAACCGGTGACTTGGGATACTATAAATATCCCAAGTGGTGACTCTGAATCTCTTAATGAACGAATCCATTTCGATTGTCCTTTAATTGGAAAAACTCCTTTTTATTATACCCTTCGCAGGGTGTAGTAGCGAAGAAGGAGGTGTGACACCTACTATCATAAAAATGCTCGAGGATCTTACCAGAAGGATCGAGTCGGGCGAGAAAATGATAGCAGCCAACGACAAGAAGGTCGAAACTTATAACTCTAGGTCGACCAAATCCCGGGCGCGCCCCGGTCCTGAAAGGCGTAGACTCGAGGAAGTTCGTGCAGGGGCCGTTCCCGGAGGAAGCGGCTCCGAAATCCATTCCAAAGAAGTTCAGAATGCCGGAACTCCCAAAATACAATGGGACCTTAGACCCCAACGAGCACGTTGCCGCCTACACGTGCGCAGTGAAGGGCAACGACATAAAAGACGACGAGATCAAGTCCGTCTTGCTGAAGAAGTTAGAGGAAACGCTCTCAAAGGGGGCCATGATGGGGCACCATAATCTAGCTCCCAACTCCATAGACTCATTTGCCATACTGGCAGACTCCTTCATAAAGGCACACGTCGGTGCCATCAAAGTAGCAACGAGGAAGTCTAACGTATTCAAGATCAGGCAAAGGGAGAACGAAATGTTGCGAGAGTTCGTATCTCGCTTTCAAACGGAATGAATGGAACTACCCCCGGTCTCCGACGACTGGGCGGTACAGGGCTTCACTCAAGGCCTGAACGAGCGGAGTTCAGTGGCCTCAAGGCAGCTAAAAGAAAATTTGATCGAGTATCCTGCCGTAACCTGGTCGGACGTCCACAACCGATACCAGTCAAAGATCAGGGTCGAGGATGATCAATTAGGAGCCTCTTCGGGCTTAGTATACCTGAGCATGCTCTTAGCAAAGGAAGCGAAGCCAAATAAAGAAAGGTATCAACCATACACCGAAGACAGGAGAAACGCCCCAAAATGCAACCCGCCTCGCAACGATCGACTGGTCAACCGAGGGAAGAATCCTCGGAGATTCATTAACAGATCCGGATTTGACGGAAACACGGGGCCAATAGGGGCACCACGCCTATCAGAATACAACTTCAACGTTGATGTTTCAGACATTGTGTTCTCCATCGGCAAAATCAAGGATACCCGATGGCCCAGGCTTGTACAATCGGATCCTTCCCAAAGGAATCATAACTTGGTATGCGAATTTCACAACACGCATGGCCACAGAACCGAGGATTGTCACCGCTATGAGAGGAAGTAGCCAGGTTACTCAGTAAAGGTCATCTCAGAGAATTCTTGAGTGACCGAGCCAAAACTCAATTTCAAGAAAGAGATGCGGCCAAGAAGAACGAAGCAAACTATCCACGACATGTTATCCACATGATATTAGGGGGCGTCGACGCTCCTCAAGAACCCGTGATGAGAAGGACCAAAATATCCATCACCAGAGAAAAGCGAACCCGGGGATACGTACCCGAAAATGCCCTCACATTCAGCGAGGAGGACTCTAAGACCTTGTCCCAACTTCATAAGTACGCACTGGTAATCTCTTTCCTCGTAAATACGTTTAAAATAAAATGTGTACTCGTGGATCCAGGTAGCTCGACCAACATTATCAGGTCGAAGGTAATAGAGCAGCTCGGACTGCTAGACCAAATCGTGCCCGCCACTCGAGTCCTCAACGGATTCAACATGGCAAGCGAAACAACGAAAGGAGAGATCACTCCCCCGGTTAGCGTGGCTGGCACGACCCAAAATGTCAAATTCCATGTCATCGAAGAAGACATGAGGTACAACGCCTTGTTCGGACGACAGTGGATTCAATGCATGAGAGCAGTACCATCCACCCTCTACCAAATGATGAAACTCCCAACAAAAGATGGGATTAAAACCGTCCACGGGAAACAGCACGTGGCAAGGGAAATGTTCGCGGTGCACGACGTGGCACCAGTACCAATATCTCCACTCTCGAGAGAGCCTAAGGATAATCAAACTACATCTTTGGCTAAGCCCGATTAAACACAGCGGAGGACCGTACCGAGTCCTCATTACAAACAATAGGGGCATACCATACCTCGGAACGTCGCCAAGCGCATCCTACGACCATATCCCTTTTTATTTTATACTTTACACTAACCCATATGCAGGCGCCCGATCAGAGCAGTTGAAAGTGCTAACCCAGCCTGAAGACCTTAAGATTTTAAAAGCATCCGTTGCACTCTTTTCCTTCGACCGAGCTTTTGTCTCGAATAGGGTTTTGCCGGCAAGGTTTTTAACGAGGCAACACCTATATGCTACCTAAGGGGAATCCTACAAGTCTTCAAGGCTTCTTTTGCTATCAATCACAAACGCCGAAGGACATCCTCTAGGAAGATCATCCGCTCGGAAGAGCCAAGAAATGCCAAATAAGGTCCCAATGGGAAAATGATGTACCGGACCAAACGGTCGAATGAACCGTGTCCGCACAGCCGAGCCCCCGATGGCGGAGGCACGTGTACTAGTGTCAAATAATCAAAGAATGCTTTTTGCCAACATGACTCATGCTCCAAAGGAAACCCAGCATTTTAGCCAGGACGGTTCCTTCATCAAAAAACGTCCCGAATACTCGGAGACTAGCGTCGGTAATTCGGCACCTGCGTGACCTCAGGGTCGAAACTCCAAACTTGTAAGCCCTCAACGAGGCAGCACGGAAATCATGAAATATCTCCAAAAAAGAAAGCGTCTCGAATACTCAGAGACTGTCGCCAACTCAGAAAACACACGACCTCAGGGTCGGAATCTCCAAAGTCGTAAGCCCTCAATGAGGAAATTCTGAGCTCACGAGTAACGGCTCTCGAGCCAAAATGAACTCGATGACTCGGAGACTGTCATCAATCGCCATTCAGCAAAAAACCCGAGGCTGTAAGACCCCGAGCGGGCAGACTCGATCTCGTAAGGCCTGCATAAGGCAACAACAAAAATTGTAAGACCTCAAGCAAGGCATGAATCATACTTGTACCAAGTATCAACAAACTGTAAGACCTCAAGCAAGGCATGAATCATACTTGTACCAAGTATCAACAAACTGTAAGACCTCAAAGGCATGAAAATTTTGTAAGACCTTACTAGAGGCATAAACTCGATCCCGAAGTTCAGGCTATATATCAAATTTGTAAGACCCCTAAAAAGGCATACCCTCGATATAGACGCCTAAACTACTGTACTAGGGACCAAAAATGGCTCCAGCCTAACATAAATGACTACGGTCATACAGCTGTACCAGCCAAATTACCGCGACTTGCGCTACAAAATCATAGGCCATTACTTCAAATCTACTTCGAAAAGAACCGGTTAAACAGGCTACCCTCAACAGGCAAAAGAGCTTCGACCATGTCAGCTCCAAATCACGAGGCTTTGAGCTACTCAACCTACGGCCAAACCTTACGAGGTGCTCGAACATTGCCGCAAACGACTTGAAATCGAGGTTCTTCCTGAACCGAAGACAGGTCAGGCAAAACCATTGCAAAAGTCCTTAACTAGAGGAAAATAAAGCGTACATTAAAAGGTCGCTTCGACCCTAAGCGTAAGAGCCATTGTTGCCAGCCTACAATAAAGGCCGTACCGGCCCAAAGCGTAAAAGCCATCATCGCCAGCTCATCTGAAAACTTGAGGGTCAAATGAGCTCGAGTCGTACCGATTCGGAGACAGGACCCAAAAAAGTTAACTACATATGCCTCAGGGCAGAGCGTAAGAGCCATTATCACCAGCCTAGTAAGCCCCAAGGCCATTCACGTAAAAGATCACTTCGATCAAAGGCGTAAGAGCCACTGTCGCCAGCCCATGCAAACGTAAAACTTGAGGGTCTATCGAGCTCGAGTCAAAACCCGACTCGGAGACTGAACCCAAAATAGTTAACTACACATGCCTAAG